GCCCTCTGGCCTCCCCGGCGGCTCACCCCAGGCACTGCCAGCTCTGGGCCCCACGGCCCCACGTGCCACTCCCTCCCCCAGAGGGCCCTTAGTCTGGGACTTTGTAGAGAACAGACTTACTGAGAGCAATCTGGGGCATCGCTGGGTGACTGCCGTGAGCCTGTGAGCGGCCCCAGGTGGGGGTGGTGCCCGCCTGGCTGTTCCTGTGGTGGGGGGCCCCCATCCCTCGTGTCCCGGCCTGGGGCCAGCGCTGTCCCACCACGAAGGCCGAGAGTTCCGGCCTTGTCGCCGGGCTGGGGCGGGGCGGGGTTCCCAGGGAGGTGGCAGGAAGCTTGGCTTCCGAAGGAGACCACAGGGCAGGCTTGCAGTGGGAACCCGCCTCGCGGGGGGAGGGTGCAGCCTCCGAGCTCGTCGCCGTCGGGGGTCAGGGTCTGTGGGACATCACGGCAGCTGCTGCGTCCCCAGGCCCGTCCCACCTGCTCACCCAGAGCACCTGGCTTCACCTGCCGCACCATCAGGAGCAGCGCTGGTGAAGCCCGGTGGCCGTTTCTCCCTGGAGAGAGGTGGCCCACTGGGGCAGGGGCCCTGCCCTGTCGCTGAGACTGGCTCAGGCGCTTGAGGGTCCTCGTCTTCTGCCTCCTCAGAACCGCGCCCGGAAAAAAAGGCTGAACATCATCATTGTGGCGGAAGGAGCCATCGATACCCAGAATAAACCCATCACCTCTGAGCAAATCAAGGAGGTGAGTGCGCCCGACTTCGCCCGCCTGGAAACACAAGACGCGAGCGCCCCGGGCCGGGGTGGGGGGCTTTGGGGCGGTGTGTCAATGTTTAAACACCTTTTTGTTCCTTGTGATAGTGAAAAGCATTTTCATAATGACTCATAACTTCAATGGCATGAGAGTCGCCCAGCCCCTGACTTTCGGAGCCCGTGCCTCCAGAACTCTGTGGGGAACGTTCCCAAAGGCCCTGGGGGTCCCCCCAGCAGACAGAGGAACTGCGGTCGGGTGGGCGTAGACGGCTCCAGCTCCGGGCGCCAGCTGCCCCGAGACTCCGTCCCCTCTCCACTCCGAGCACCAGCCGAGCCGCCCTTCCTGTCCGAGCCGCCGCCCCCCGGCCCACATGGCCTGACCCCACGGTCACGCTGCCGCAGGGTAGCCGGGCAGGTGCTGGCTCGTCGGGTCCTGCGGGGCCCACCGGGCCTGCTCCCGGGCTACAGGGGTGACCGAGCAGGTTCTGGCCTTGCTGCTGGCTCGGATGGAAGCCGTCCGTCAGGGCCGAGCACGTTCTCACTTGGCCTTGCAAGTTGGCTTCTCTGCATTCCCAGACCAGCCACTCACCCGAATAGTGAAATATTGAGAGACGTGCGTGAAAGCCATCTGTCGCTGCTCACAGACGTCGTCGGCACGCTCAGAGCGAAGGTCGTCTGAAAGTTGAAGCTGAGATGGGATGGGGGATGTGGCGCCAGAGGGGACCGGGGACTGCTGCCACCCGACCCCGTGGTTTTTATGGAGTAAATGAGGCCCAGTGAAGGCAGGGGGCCCGTCCCCGCCGCCCGGCTGGGTTCCCCGGCCCCGGGCTGAGGGGCAGCTTGGTTTCACCGTGTCGTGCTCTTCAATAAGACTGTACGAGCGTACGGGGCTTCAGGGAGAGGGTCACGTCTTTATAAAGTGGCACTAACGCTTCAGAAGCATCACCACGATACACGCGATAGAAGCGGGACTAACAGTCGTGTCACTTGTGTCCACGAGTGAGGTAGGAGAGACAGACCCTATTTGACAATAAAAGCAGTCCTTTCCAAAAGTTAATTCCAGCAAGCCGCTCGATGTTCCTTCAGGAAGTGGAAGTTAGAAACTAGAATCTCCCCCCAACGCAGGTCTGCGGGGACGGACAGACCTTTCCTCAGTTCCCAGCCCCGACCCCTCGAAGGGGCCGCCGCGCCCGGGCCTCTGACGGAGGTGTTTCCCCACAGCTCGTGGTCACGCAGCTGGGTTACGACACGCGAGTGACCATCCTGGGACATGTGCAAAGAGGCGGGACGCCGTCAGCCTTTGACAGGATTCTGGTAAGTGAGGGTGGGAATGGTCAGGCATCTCCACGCAGAAAGGAGGACGTCTGGGGCGGCATGGGGACCAGTCTCCTGGGAACGCTGAGTGACGCCGAACAGGGCCTTCGGGTCAAAAGCATCTCCTGCCCCCAGTGCTGGACCCCGAGGGGCTACGGCCCGTGGGCTCACTGGACCCCAGCCAGCCCAGGGGTTCCTAGGCCCCCGGTCACCCAGACGCTGGGAGACCCACCAAACGTGGGGCCTCCAGGACAAAACCCAGAAGGTGCAAAGCAGCCACCCACGTGCAGTTTTCAGGAAAGAGGCCAGCGCTCAGTTTTCTGCTCCCCACGCCTCTGGCCTCCCCACCCCTCCACCTGGCCGGTTCCCAGCCGGGTCAGACTCTGCTGGAGGAGGTTACATGGGTTACAGGGAAGCGGGAAGGACTCCACGCAGCTCACAGGGACGCGGTGCAGGAGATGGGGAGGGAGGCGGGGAAGGCGAAGCTTAGAACAGGGGGGCCTCTACCCGGGGGGCACTGAGGTGGTCTCCGGGCCTGGCGGGGGGCCCTCTCTGACCATCAGAATGTTGTTTCCAGGCAAGCCGCATGGGGGTGGAGGCTGTGGTCGCCCTCCTGCAGGCCACCCCCGAGACCCCAGCCTGCGTGGTGTCGCTGAGCGGGAACCAGGCGGTGCGGCTGCCGCTGATGGAGTGCGTGCAGATGGTGAGCGTGGGTGGCGTGCGCTCGGGCCCGGGGCCTGTCAGGCCAAGTCAGCGACCGTCCCCAGGACGTGGGGAGCCCCTCCCCATGGGTGGGACGGCAGTGTTTGTGACATCAGATGGTGCCCCTTCTTGATTCTGCGACACCGGGCACCACTGCCCCACAGTGAACCTAGGACGGGGTTTCTGTGGAGCACCCATGAGCTCCCTGCCCGGGGTCAGAGAGGCCGGGGGAGACAACGCTGCGGTATCCAGGAGGGCTTCACGGAGGAGGGGGGCACTGCCGCCTCTGCAGCATCAACGGCTCCTGCCCTCCTGTCCCCGAGGCTTTCACATCCATGACGGGACACAGGGATGGCTGCTTGGGTGACTCCCTGACACACACGGCCTCCTCCAGGCCCCGGGGTGCCGCCCATGGATGCGGGGAGTGGGTACTGGTTTTCCAGCTGGCCGTCCGCTCGGTGAGGAGGCCCTGGAGCTGCATTACAAATTGTTACCGTGTTTCATTTTTCAAAGTCTCTTCTCCGCTGTCACTTCTTTGGTCTTCCCAGAGGCTCTGAAGTACACGTATTTTGTAACGTGTACAGAGACGTCGTTAAGTCATTAAGTCATGGGACTTGGAAGTAATCTCAGAAATATAATTCCAAACTCCTGTGGCAGTAAACAAAGCCTGTGAGTGTGCACATGTGAGTGTGTGTGGGTGTGTAGGCGTGTGCATGTGTGCACGTGTGTGAGTGAGGGCTCACGAGAAGAGACGTGGGACTATAGCAGTCATTTATCTTGAGCACGTTTCTCCTGCCCAGTGTTGCTCTGTCCCTTTCGAGACGGACAGGCGGTGGGACCACTGGCTTGTCCTCAGACAACTGTACGTCGTGGTACATCAGCCAGACGGCTCGCAGAGCCGCGGCGAGCCACTCCCGACCCCCTGCTGCCTGGCGGGGACTCCCTGGGGCTCTGGTGTGTGCTGCCCCACAGACAGCACCAGAAGGAGGGGCCCCTTTCTTACCAGAGGAAGAAACTGAAGTTGAGAGATGGATGGCTTCCCTAGGACCCTGGGGTTCAAAGCGGCCGAGCCGGTGCTGGTCCCCATGTGTTCTGCCCCAGGGCCCCCCAGCCCCTCCACCCCCCTCTGCTCCAGTGGCCCCACCCCATCCTCCGCTCCCTGGGCAGGGGTGGTTCTGTCTGCTCTTTCCTCACCAGAGTCACGTGGGGATTTTTCAGAGCCTTTCCTTCTGGCCGTGCGCTCGTGGGGCATAACCCCTAAGATTTCAGGACCTGCTTACCCTGGCGTGGCCGGCAGGGCCACCATGTCCTTTTCTACGAAGCAGCCTGGGCAGGCGGCCTGGGCGTCCCCCTCCCACCCTAGCCGGGCAGTACAGGCTTGTGACACCGGGCTGCCGCTGTGAGGTCGGATGGGAAGGGACCCAGGATGGAAGGACGGAGCTGGTTCCGAGCCCCCAGCCTGGATCCAAGGATGCACAGAGTCCTGACACCTTTCTTCCTTTTCCTTATTTCCTTAAAGACCCAAGATGTACAAAAGGCGATGGATGAGAGGAGATTTAAGGATGCTGTGAAACTCCGAGGAAGGTGACTGTTTTGAAGAAAACTGTTCTGCCAGGAGCCTCTGTTCCTCAGGCCTGGCCTCTGGAACGTGCTCCCAGGTGGTGCCTGTTCTGTCTCAGGGTCGGAAGTCAGACATTTAGGCAGCAGGCACCAGCAGCCCTGCTCCTGCAGGTCCGCGGTCCGGGTGACTGGTTAGACATTCGTGCGTCTATTTTTTGGCAGGGTGGGGGTGGCTCCAGCTGATGCGATCAGGAGAGACAGCAGCCGGGGGCTAGCACTTTGAGAAGGGAACTTGCCGCGTCCTAAGTGGCCCTGTTCCTCAGCGCACTTACAGAACATCCACTGAAGTCTCTGCAGACAGCAGGGCCTGCAGGGCAAGGGGTTGCTGGGGCCCCTTCCCTGGGAGCCCTGACACAGAGCCAGCACCTGCGGCGCACACAGCATCCTCTGCAGCCCCTTCTCCCCAGATGAGTCCCACCGACTCTGTCCACATTCTTGGTCCCACACGTCCTGTCCTTTTCTTCCAGGAACTTCGAGAGCAACCTGAACACTTACAAGCGGCTTGCCATCAAGCTGCCTGACTCCCAGATCCCAAAGGTGGGTGGTCCTGCCCTGCCGGCGCCCCCTAACCCTCTCCCCGCGTCCGATGATGCCTCGGGCCTGTGCTGGCCTGGGCGCCCCTCCGCTCTGGCCCAATCAGGTCTCGGCTCCTCGGAGGCCTCCCCGCGCCCCGCTGCCCCTTCCCGCCCGGCCCACGCGTCTCCTGCGTCCGGGCGCCCGCGCCGCGCACTGGGGCTCCGGGTGCAGCTCTGCGAGGGGGACGCACTGTGACCGTGGCGGTGACCGGCACTCCCACCGTCCCCTCCCGACCTGCAGAGCAACTGCAACGTGGCTGTCGTGAACGTGGGCGCGCCCGCTGCCGGCATGAACGCGGCCGTGCGCGCGGCCGTGCGCGTGGGCATCGCCGACGGACACAGGATGTTCGCCGTGTACGACGGCTTCGAGGGCTTCGCCAGAGGCCAGGTGAGCGCCAGGGGGCCTGGACGGGAGCACAGAGCCTGGTTTCCTCGAAGGCGGCGGGCAAGGCATCTCGGGGGTCCGGGGCCCAGGGGGGCAGGTGCGCGCGGGGCCGCGGGGAGGTGCGAGCGGGATGCGGAGGGTGCCGTGCGCGGCCCGTAGGCGGAGCGCCCGCTCCAGTGAGAGTCTGATGAGGAGGAGAACCGGGCTTGAGGGCCCGCGGAGCGCGCTCACTGCGCCCACGGGCCCCGCGTGTGAGTCCGTGTGCATCTCACGGTGAGCTCAGATACCATCCCCGTTGTCCTAACGAGACAGCGGGGGCGCGGAGACTTGAATCACGTGATGGAGGTCATAGGATGCAGGCGGTTAAGCACGTGGTGAGGCTGCAGGTGCTGCGCCCTCAGCCAGGTGCATCCTGGTCCTCGTGCAGTGGTCCCCCCTCATCTGAGTCTTCAGTTACCCACATTCAGCCATGGTCCAGAAAGATGAATGGAAAATTCCGGAACAGACAGGTCGTTAAGGTTTAAATTGCACCTCATTCTGAGTGGTGTGATGAAATCTCCACCCGTCAGCTCTGTCCTCCCAGGACGTGAGTTGTCCTCTTGTCCAGCGTATCGGCCCTTTGCCACTTAGTAGCCACTTGCTGATCGACGGTCATGGCATCACAGTGTTCAAGTGACCCTTATTTTATGTAAGATGTCCCCAGAGTGCAAGAGGGGCGATGCCAGCAGCTTGGATGTTTTCTTCTTGTAGCTGATTTATAAACCAGGCTTTATCCTGGGCGCGTGTGTGTAGGAAGAGACAGACGTGTGGGGTCTGGTACTGTCCGTGGTTCCAGGCATCACTGGGGGTCTCGGAACGTACATCCTGCTGATAAGGGCGGCAGATGTGTCTGTTCGCCCAGTGACTCTGTGACTCCTTGCTGAGTTCTTAGGCTGTGGAACCAAACTAGTGAAGACAGCAGACAGGACCCCCTGCATCTCAGGAGGGAGACGGCGGGAGTAAAAGCCGATGGAGGGAACTCTGTCGCTGCTGGGGAGGTGACTCAGGCTGCAGTTCGAAGGGGCTGAGTGAGCGGCCCTCGGGGACATCAGATGTTGGTCCCAGGCAGAGCGGAGGACAGTGGCCCTGAGCTGCTCAGGGATGGGGGTGCTCACGTGGCTGCAGCCGGGGGCGAGGGCGGAGGAGGGAGTGGTGACGGTAGAGCAGGTGAGGGCCAGAGGGTCTGTAGGTGATCTGAGGGGTCAGGTCTGTATTCTGAGAAGACAAGAGGGTTTGGAGCAGGGGCGTGGCGCATTCTGACGGATTTCCAGAAGAGGCGGGAACGGGGGACAGGAGAGCAGCTGGGGGCCCCTGCACTCACCCAGGCGGGAGCGGAGGCGGCTAGTCCAGTCAGGCAATGGTGGAGTCAATGAGGAGTCTTCTAGGGTCTCGGTGTATTTTGAGGTTGGGGCCAATAGGGTTTGCTCACTAAATACATGCAGGTCTGAGAAAGGAGGCAAGACTGAGTCCGTTTCTGGTCTGAGCTGCAACTCGGAGGTGGGCAGTCTGGAAGGCGCTGAGACTTGGGCTCAGTGGGAGGTGTCACTGGGAGTCCGGGGGGAGGTGCCCGGCGAGCAGATAGACACAGCACGCCGGGGCTTCGGACGCCGGGGCCAAACGCGCGTGCGGAGGCTGGTGGTGTTTGAACCTGTGACACAGACCCCCCACGCCTGTGAGTGAAGGGGAAAAAGGGTTTTGCTGTCAACAGTAGAGAGAGGGGAGGACCAGCCCAGGAGGCTGGGGAGGGGTGCGAACACCGAGCTGGCATTCGTCTGTGCTTTCAGATTTTTTTCAATTTTTAAGAGGAGAAGTTTTTTTTAAAAAATTATCATTTTAGAATTTCTTTTGCTTCCCAGTGGTGGGACTTGGCCAGCTAAAGCACCCCTCCAACAGGCGCGGTGAGAGGGCTCGCCCGTCGCTGCCCTGAGTGGTGGAAGCTTAGCCTCCAGTCCAGGTCTTGTCTCGTTCAGCGTCGCAGTGAAATCCTAACGTTTCTCAGATCCCTGCGGACACGCAGCTGCTCAGGGTGCAGACTACCTGAGCTGGTCTTTAATCGAATTCCCCTTCCTTCTCCGCTTTGGCTGTTCCTGTCTGTGTTTGCAAGTCAGATAAGAGAAATCGGCTGGTCAGATGTCGGAGGCTGGACCGGCCAAGGAGGCTCCATCCTGGGGACAAAACGGTAATTTTCCCACCTTGATTCTGACCTGCCCTTAGGAAGAAGGGAACGTCACATTCTAGGGAGGGAAGTTGGCGTTGGCTCCGGCCCGGCCCCGCTCCAGGAGGGGCTGGGGTTAGTTTGTGGGGAGCTGATGAGACGTGCCCTGGAGGAGCGGCAATGCGGAGGGCCTGGGGACGGCTTCCTCCGACAATCCCTTATTTCCATTGATCGGAGGAACTGAATGGTGGCAGAAACCCCATATCTCACTTGGGGTGACGCAGACAAGAGTGCCCTGAGCTGCGGTGACCAAGCTGTGTAAACAGGATTCATAGTGGCTCAGTGTCCCAGGAACCGCAGACCTGACCCCAGTCCCCACGGCCGGAGGACGGCCATGAGGTCCTGGGCTGAGCTGGAGGGGCCAGTTGACATGTTCTCATGATGCTTAAGGCGCTTTACAGCAGACGCCGGGAGGGACCCTGCAGCCCACATCCTGTCCCCACGTCCTCCCTGCCACCCAGACCCTATGACTTCTCATCCATCCACCCAGAGTGTGAACGCGTTGCCCCCCAGGTGGCAGAACAGTCGACCGGCGTGGGTGCTGGGGGGTGGGGGGCACGGCCATTCCACGTGTTTGAAACAGGTGTAAAGTGAGGGGGGTGCGCAGGTGTGGGTGGAGGTGACCTGAAACGGGGTTAGATGGGGCGTGGCGCTCGTGTGTGACTTGCTTGTTGGCATGAAATTCGGAAGCCTTTGTGCTCCATCTGCTTTTTCCCTAATGAGGGAAGTAGGAGTCTTCGAGGGCCAGTTATTGGACAGGTGCAAAGTTCCATTCTCCTTTAAAAGACACTCTTTTGAGACCTGATTCCCGACCACTCCTGCCGTGTGGGGTCCCCGGCCCTGCTGCCTGCGTGGAGGCGGCGCAGTGGGGCTCCGGCCTGACCTCGCCTCTCCTTTGGCCGGTCTGCAGCACCCTTCCCGGGAAGTTCTTGCAGGACATCGCGGCCCAGATGCGCGCTCACGGCATCAACGCGCTCCTGGTCATCGGGGGCTTTGAGGTACGTATGCTCTCCTGCGCTTGGCTGTCCCCGCAGGTCTGAGTGGGGACCCCGTGCTGTCTCCTCTCTCCATGCGCTGAGGTCCCAGCTGCCACAGAGTAACTGTGCCACGGAGACTAGCGGGTGGCGGGAGGAGGGGGCCCTAAAGCCACTTGACCGGGAGGCGATGGCTTGACCCCTTGGCTGGGGCTCATCCCTGCCGTGAGTTCTCACGTGTCAGATGCAGGACTGACCCTCCCCACTCGGAAGCCCACTGGCTCTTCGGAGAGGGAGGCTGTTACGTGGCTGGATTCTCACTTTTTAACTACATGTCGGACGTCAACCCTAATTTTTATACTCAGCCGAGGCCAGTCCCACGATGACCTTTCAGTTTTCTTTTAAGAGTCCATGAGAACCTCCACCAGCCAGACTCTGGCCGGTGACAGTCCCGGCCTCCTCTGTGCTTGGAGCTGGGCGCGCGCGACGTGGATGTGTTTCGAGCTGGTTCTCCGCATCCCTTCCCATCCCCTCCCTCCGGCCCCCCATGCCACACACATTACCCCGCAGGCCTACCTGGGACTGTTGGAGCTGTCCGCCGCCCGGGAGAGGCACGAGGAGTTCTGTGTCCCCATGGTCATGGTTCCCGCCACCGTGTCCAACAACGTCCCGGGGTCCGACTTCAGCATCGGGGCCGACACCGCCCTCAACACCATCACCGACGTGAGTGCGGGGCCACAGAGCAGGGCCGCGACGCCGACCCGCTAACCCGGCCCCTGGCCTGCTTTTATCTCCCGGCACCTCGGAGACCAGGCCTGCTGGCTTGCTTTTCTCTTTTGTTTTTCTCAGAAAAGTTAAAAACAAAGTCTGACAACCTCTGACTCTGCTCTGTCCCGCTGCTGCAGCCCAGGTCCCCGGTCCCCTGCAGCTCGCGGTCTCAGTGATCTGGGTGTTCACTCACTCAAATGCGTTTTCTTTTTTGGCTGGTCCTGTGGCCCGTGCTTTGATGTCTGGGCTAAATAATTTGTAATTTCATCCATTGACCAGAGCCCACTTTTTAACAGCTGTGACACCTCTAGCTGCGGCTTAGCGTCGTCCTCGCTCTCCCCTCGTGGGCTGGACGTTAAACTACGTCTAAGGCGACATGGATGCTACTTGAATGCGGGGGTTCTGTTTTGTTTTTTGCCAAAAGGCAGTAACAAAGAAATGCGTCTTAATCACCGTATTTGTGAACCGCACGTGGGACATCCCGAGGGAGTCTGAGTCTGAATCTAGCACAGAACGCATTTCTCCCTTTTTTTAAATTCGGCGTCAGAACGTTTCCGTAAATCCTCACGTTCCGGTTTCCTCGCGAGGCGATCTCGTGGGCGTCTCCCGGGCGTTCTCCCTGGGCCCTGGCCCCGCGTCTGCCGCTGGTGCCGGCAAATGAAAGAAGAGCTTCTGGAGGGCGCGCTGCGCGCGGGGCGGGCTTGGTGCGTGGCTCCCGCTTCCCGCGCCCCTCGCACTTCTGCTGCTTCTGCACGAAGACGCCCCGGCTGTCGTCTGCGTTCCCGCCCGCCTGCCGCAGCTGCTGTGCCTCCGGTGCTGGGTCTGTGCTGTGGCTGCTGCCAGGCTAATTCAGCTGCCTGTCGACCCCTGAGCTCTGGGGCGAAAGGTCGTGGTGTCGCAAAGCCTTCCCGCTTCTCCCGCGCAGCTGGACTCGAACCTGCTCACTCCAGGCTCGCAGTAGGAGCCACGAAGTTGGCTTTCCTAAGTGGCCCCTAACTAGACACCCCCGGGTGGTGGCGGGGACGCTGGGGGCTGTCACTGGGGGGCCCTGACCCGGGTCGGTGTGCGCCCCTGCTGCGGCGCTGCACATGCGCTTTCAGGCACAAGGACGGACGCCCACCTTCTAGTTCCAGGCTCGTCTGCGACAGAGAATTCTCTTTCCAGACGGTAACGAGTGAATGTGTGTGTGATGCTGAAAACTGGAAAGCCCAGAGCGGCCCGGGGCAAACTCCAGGTGTCCGTTCTGCATCCCCTTGAGGGATTCTGAGATTCACTGCGTGACCCTTTAAATTCGGGTTTTGCTCCACATGAGGCTCTCAGAGCCCGGGTAGCGGTCGTAAGGCAGGCAGTTCCCTGGCAGCCGGCGCCGGGCTGCGCTTGGAGGCAGAAGGAGGTGAGGGTGCCCGGGGACCTCGCAGGGGGCCTTGCTCTGGTTCGTACTGAGTGGTCGGAGGGCTGCTCAGCAGGTCCTGAAGGCCGGCATGTTGAGGTTGCTCGGTTTGCCCCGAGCCCCGTGTGTTATAGTCACAGTGACGCCCAGTCTCTTCGGGGCTCTGGATCTGGGCTGGGACTGGGCCAGGCTGGCCACGTGCAGGAGAAGGGGGTGGCCAGGGAAGGCCTGAGGGGCCACACGAGGCTCCAGTGGCTCGTGGCAGGGCCACCTCTTGGCCCTGGGAGTGCTGAGGTCAGTCCCCGGCGTCTCCTGTCCCAGCCGGTTCCTTCTGTTCCCAGAAGGGGGTGGTCCTGGCAGTGATCTTGCCGCCAGGCGACATCTCGGTGGTCACATCTGGGCCAGGGGTGCCCCAGCGTCTGGTGAGCGGGGGCCGGGATGCTGGTGACGCCCCATGATGTCAGGAGGCCCACAGGGAGCCCACGGCCAGAACGTCCCTGTGCCAAGGCTGGGGCCCGAGATGGCCCTGTGTCATCAGCTGCCACGTCCTCTGGACGTTCAACCGCCGTCCTCGTCAGCCTGTTTCCTTTGCGTCTGGACGCGTCCTGAGCACTGATTGCATCGCAGGGTGGTGGGTCTCCAGGGCCAAGGGGACACCTCAGAGCAGGGGTTTGGGGGTCCTCAGCTGCGTGTTACCCCTCAGAACCATCCGCTTGTTGTGCTGGGAGCCGCGGCCGCCGTGTGCGCGGGCCCCAGGCGGGGAGGGTGGCCCTGAATTACCTGGTAAGGAGGTGGGCACCTGGATGGCTTCCCTGTGACTGTCAAGTGTCTTTTCTTAGTGTTGGTGGTGCAGTGTTGCCCCCCCAGGACTGGACTTGGTCCCCAGAATTTCAGGTCTCGTCCTGGGCCGGGCTCTCCCCTCTCTGCAGCGTCCTCTCGTCTTCTGAGAGATGGAGAAGGAGGAGGAGTGATGGGAACAGAGGGTGCGAGGACTTGAGGGCATAGAACCACCGTCAGATTGAAAGGCGCCGATGACACCCTGCCCGCCCGCGATGCCCGGTCCCTGGTCCAGAGCGTCCTGGGTGGTGGTGGGGAGCGGTTCAAACCGTGCCCTCCAGTGATCCTGAGCTGCACCGGGCCGGAGGAGGGTCCCTGTGGGGACCGGGCCTGGCGGGTGGAGGGGCGATGGAGGGGGCGTGGGGCAGGTGTGCGACGCCCTCACCTTCCTCCCGGCCACTCCCCGACTAACCCGCGTTGGGTCCACCGTCCACGTGTCCTCGGGCGCAGCTCCCCCACCCCCGAACCCGGCCTGTTTGGAACCCTGGGGATTGGCGGGGGTGGAGGGCAGAGACCCAGAGGCCTGGGTCCCATCCTGCCTGCGGACGTTCCCACAGAAGGGGCCCCCGGGTCGTGCTGCGCGGGGCACAGAGACCGGGCAGGGGCCCGGGCTGTGCTTGGACTTGTGGCTTTGGGCCGTGGTGGGTGGACTGGGCCACTAACGAGCTACTTGGACTAATGCTCTGAGGCAGGAGTCCAGACCTCCGCCTTGTGCTTGGGGACAAAAGCAGCCCACTCCTCTGACATCAGCGCCTGCTGATTTCACCTGGGCCCCCAGCCTCGGGACGCAGGCCCCCAAGCTGCTCCCTGTGAGGCCCCCACGGGGTGCTCCTCACACGGCCGAGAGGACTCCCCCGGCTCTGCCTGGGGGGCCCCACTGGCAGCAGCGCCACTCCTGGCTGGGTGCCAGCAGGTGGGCCTGGCCTTGAACTTGCCGGAGAGGCTCCCTTGCTTCCTCCCAGATGCCTAGAAGGGCCGGGCTGTCTTCCCTCACTAACCCAAGGCCACCTCTTGCCCTGCTCTGCTGCCCCCCACTGCGTCCCCCTGTGCTCTGGGCACGGAGCCCTCCCTGGGGCCTGCATGCCCTCCCCCCACTCCTGGGTCTCTCCTCCTGCCCCCCCACTCCTGGATCTCCTCTCCTGCATCTCTGACCCCCACTGCTGGTCTCTCTTCCTGCCCCCTGTGCCCCCACAGCTTCCTCCCCAGAGACCCCCGTGGATGCAGGTCCCCTGTCCCCTGATGACTGCAGGGAGCTGGCGCCCCTGACCCCTCACCCACCCCGCTGACCCCGCTGCAGGCTTTCCAGGGTTCGCTGGTGATGGCAGACACGCGGGGCAGCCACCCCGAGTTTCGCGTCCCCATTTGTGTTGTCCCTGCCACCACTGATAACAACATCCCAGGCACAGACCTGAGCGTGGGCTGTGACACTGGCCTGAATGTGATCGTGGAGGTAAGAGGACCTGCCCCACCCGCTTCTGCCTTCGCTTCGGTGGTTGGTTTTCTTTGCCCCTAGGAGAGGGCCGGTCAGGTTGAACCCGCTCAGAGGAATTGGCGGGGAGCCCCATCCGGTCCCGCAGGGCGCGTGCGCACTGGCTGGAGTCTAGGTCACACTTCCCAGGACAGGAGTTTTCTCGGCTCCTCCCTCTGGGGGCATCCTGCCTTCACTGACTAATAAGTAGATGTTCTGTTTGTGCTCCTGGTTCCCGCAGCACCTGTCGGGCGGGGCCTAAGGTCCTCCCCAGCCTGATGAGGCAGCTGCCGGGCGACTGGGCGACTGGGCGGACGCGTGGTCGGTTGTGGGGACCAGGACGGAAGCGGGTCGGGGGCCGGGCATCTGGCCGGGGGGGCGGTGCGTGCGGAGTCGGAGTCCAGCAGAGAGCGGCCCGGCCGCGG